CTGATCGGGATGCGGGCCGTGACCTGCTGAACATGCATCACGCGTGGCGGAATTGGACGTGATGATTGCTCGGCCATCTGTTTCCCCTGTGTGCGTAAGACAACCTGATAGCCTGTGTGTTGCCTGAGTGGCTAATTGCTTTAGCCAAATTCAGCCTCAGCATGGAATATGGATTGGGCAAGTCGTTTACTTGTTTATGAACAAGGGGCCAGTGAACCATAACTCAAGTAATTCCAGGCTCACACGATTATCACCTCTTGTGAGGATTTCGGCCTCATCTGATTTGAATGTTTGGCTGGATCTCGTCGAATTGGGCACAACTTGACAATCGGCCTCAGTTCGTCGCACTGCTGCCACGTGTTCGGCAACTCGCGTCTTGAGAAGTCTGCCAGTTCCTTTGAGGTAGTTGCTTCGTTCGCACCTGCACCAGATCCTATCGACGAGTCTAGATATTTCTTGCTGTGGCAGTGGGTATTTCGGTTTCATTATATGACGCCTTAGCGTTTCTTCCGGCCTGCGTGCGACTCCAACACCAAGTAATGCAAGAAGGCGGCCGAAGGCCTCCGAGACGATTTTGACGTACGCGATCGCTCGCCAAAATGTGGGCTCGGAACGATTTTGTTGCCCGTTTTGTTCGCGCAAGCACCAGTTGACAGTTGTCGAAGAGCCAAAGCATGATTTATCTCAGCGAAAACCATCAAATCAAGAAAGCAAAAGCAATAAACTGAGGCAGAAGATAACGGACGACAAATAAAGTAAAGTACAGTAGAACGAAAAAGTAATTAAAAACGCTGATAACTGCGGCATCGTAGAACTGTGTGCTTGTCCTTTCATGTGTAAGTCGAGCTGACATACTTATAACTGAGGTGTCTATGATGAACTGGTTTAGGAAATTATTGATCGTGACATCCATTTCATCCAGCAGTAAACAATATTTTCTGGGCTACTCTAGCGATGCGAATACTATTTTTTTTTCAGGAGGATTGAGGTCCGGGCCGTTTACAGGAAAAAGATTGCTTTACAGCCCGTAGGCTGAAAGACTAGCTGTGTACTACATAGTTGCAAACATCTCATTTGAGCTCTGAACAGAAAAGTAATTCTGCAAAATTACGGTGTCAATTTGACACCAGTGCATGCCACTATAACCGAGGGCCTCCTTTATGACATGGATGAACGCCTTGCTATTTATGCTCTCCGTTGTTGGCTGACGGATCGGTTGCTCTCCGAATTTGATGATCATCCAAGCCATCAGGAGTCGAGGTTTCTTAAAATTTGCTGTCGATGCAGTGTGTTCTCGGAGGAAGTTCTATCCCAAATAGTCACCTAGTCCAGCCACGTAGGCTTATCTAAAAATCAGACCTCATGATAAAAGAAGACGTTTTTCTCGTTTGCAAGTCTGCAATCAATATACTTCTGAACAAGGAAAAAAACGTTCTCTGATCAGTTTCCTACTTACGAAATCGCTTTTTCATTGCATTTTTTGATGGATACCGAATTCCTTCACCCTTCTTGCAATAATGCACGCGGAGAACACAGGCAAATGTTACCTACGAATAGTCCTAGGGGGCATATAATTATACTTTTTGACGTGAGACGAATATACGCGTTGTCCTGATTGCCTATGGACAGTTTTGTCCAAATTGTAAGCACGCTTCTATTCCGTATTATTCCCCAGTGCAACCTGGCTGGTATTGAACATATTATGCGAGGACTGACATGCCAGCCCTTCGGCAATAATAATACGGTCTAGCAGGAAGAGCTTCGACACGGTAATCAGATGGCGTGACATAGAAAACTAACACTATGTCGCGGATACTCAAGGGCTACATCCATTTGCGCCTACAGTGCGGCTTAGAATTTGCGTAACATGCCAAAATATCCGGAAGATTTATACTCATTCGCTAATCGGCATTGAGTAAGGTTGTCATATTGATTATAGCGTAGTCTATTCTGAAATCATTTCAGTCACGGTAAAATGTTGGTTTTTGAACGAGTTTCCTTCTGACTACTAACAAAACCTATGTGTTATAAAAAGTGGCTACTTAATTGGTATGCATTTTTATCACTGATTTTGACTGCCTTTATAAATTCAAATATATTTTATGGAAGTACACGAAAAAGTCCTTTCTCGTACTTATCTGATAACAAATTGCGCCTCCTTACGCGGAAAAATTCTTTCTTGTACGCGTTTTGTAGAAAATTACGCCTTCTTCAAACTTTATGTTTAAAGAACGGGTATAATTCAGTTTTAAAAAAGTGTTTCTAATTATGAGCTTTTTAACGATTGTGAAGTTTTCATTAAACATCACACCCATCGATTTATTAATGCTGCC